TAGAAATTATGGGATACCAATGCTGATATTTTTTTTAGAAAGTACTCATTCTGGACAACTCAGAAAATATATCAGTCATGATATCCCATAATATTAAAAGTCAGTTTGATATWTATGAAATATGGCAGAGGGGGTCAGAATTATTGCAAACAGCTGTATTTGGTTAGGTATATTTATATATATAAAAATGTCTCATAATTTGTGCAAAAGGCTGTATAATATAATAATATATATATAATAAAATAATTGAACATTACTCAGAGTCCGAATTGGAGTRGAAGTCACTTTCATCAGAGTTGGAAAAGCACTCATCAATATCTGGTAATTTGAAAAAAGCTGTAGCTTCATCGATTTCTCTTTGAAGCATGTCAATTTCTTTCTGCATTGCTTTCTGTTCTACCAAAATTGAATTCCTTGCTTGAAATTCCTCCTGAAGAGAAGAACCAGCCTGTACTGATGCATCCACAAGAGTGGCCTTTTCTTTAGCTTTAGAATGCTGTGAAGTGGATCCCATCTTTTGTCTTGGTTGTGAAAGCCATTCTTTCAATGTTAATTCTATTAGAGACTTTGATTCTTTTACTTCTGGACCATTGATAGCTATATGCATAAGTGACTCCASCATGTCATTTTTGAGGGTTGATCGTAATCTTGTTTTGATTCTTTTAACACAAGACGCTGCCCTTTCTGGCCATACACTGCTTACAGGGATAGATAAACAAAGTTCAGCCATCTCTAACAATTGTGGGAAAATATGCTTAAGGCTTGKGCGCATTCTCATAAGGTACACAAGGATCCATTCCGTTGGTGTTTGTGTTGTCAGCTCCTTTCCAACCTCAGGGCTGAGGATTTCAGGTGGAATAGTTTCCTTGAGATCTAAAAGATTGTATTTAAATTTTTTCCACTCACAAGTAAGTTCCTCCTTTCTCTCATCCTTAACTTGGTCTTCCATGTCTTGATAGAAATGATCTGCCAAGACAGCTATTTCATTTAAGCCATATTCCTTGAAAGTTGTTTCAGACTTTGCAGGGAGAGCCAGGGGATCAAAAATCTTGAATGCTGACAGCACTGGAATGCTTCCATCAAATCTGTTATTGATATTGTCTCTTAGAGCTGCAACATACTGCTTTGTCAATGAGACAAGTTGCTTCTCCTGAAAATCTGTCATTGGCCTTARGTCACATRATGACAGCCTGCTGCCTTCCAAAAGATCTTTCTTCAGGGATTTGAGAGGTTTTTGCTCATTTGAAASTGACTCAAGCTCATCTAAAGTAAACTGAATGGCTGGTTGAATGGCTGCAAATAACACTGTACCTTTCTGAAAAGCCCTGCTCAGATGAGCAAGAATCGGCAGAACTTCATGTAGTAAATAAACAGCTCCAAGAAACTTGACATTTCCAATTTGMTTAAGAAGACCTATCGCCATTGAGTAAGTCATTTTCATCCTTCAATTCTTTAAGAGCTTCTGTAAGTGCTACATAGTCATTATAGACTCCTTGTATGGCTTTTTCAGTTGATAACCAATGGGTTCTGCAAGCTTTCTGAAAGCATTTGTTCAGTTTCTTTTTGCYTCGTTTGGTAATGGTTGCATTCATCTCACTTGCATTTACCACAGCCTTTGAATATTTTGCAGCTTTTTTTGCAGAATTCTTAAAAAGAGACCAAAGTTGAAGAAGAATTTTCTCAACTGTTAAAATGTAATTAACAGAATTGTTAGCATCTCCACATGCTAAGGCTAATCGATGAGCAATACAATGAACATTTAAAAGTGTAATGTTATCTGAACGGAGTTTAGCAGCAACACCATTGTTCTTTCCAGTCATTACGGATGCACCATCACTTGCAAAACTTGAAAGACTRGATTTTTTCAAGTTGCAATCTTCAAGTTGTCTAGATAACGCCATCCATATAGTATGTGCGTCAGCAGAATCAGACTTTTCAAGAAGATCAGTTGCAGATAGGAAATCTGTACAAACTTTGTGGGTATCTTTATCAACATAGTTTACAAATGTTAGAAGCTGTTCTTTGTTAGCTAGGTCACAGACCTCGTCACATAGCAATCCAAAATATTTTGCTTCTTCACACTTCTTGGCAACTTGTGATTTAATATTTTCTCCTAGCATTAACATTATTGATCTGAAGGAGCCTGCAGAACGGTGTTGGAAGTATTTGATGTCGTCTAGTCCTAATTGTTGAAGAACTTGGAGAAGACTAGGAGCTTTGCAGTTAGCAATCTCCTCCTTGGCTAGCCARTATATCGCAAGAAAAGCATTGTAGTAGACAGACTGCTTACTACTTTCTCTTTTATCCAGCTCAGCTAGAAATGGTGAACTTCTTTTGATTAACTCAGCAAGAACTGAAGATTTGTGTTGTTGGCCGTTCGAATGGTCTTGTAAAGCTTTTCGCTTAAACCTTACACCAGGTTCTGCATTGAATTTCTTTGCTTTATTAATGGAATTTGTTGAATCATGTTTTCGACAGATAAGACAAAACATTCCTTCACCTTCAATATAGATGAGCCAATTATATCCTGTTTTTTGGCAGTATGTTAAGGACTCATCTGTTATCCAGTTATGCTGAAATCGATCATCCTTTGTTTTGAGACGTTGTGTTTCATTGTAGCTCAGCTTTGTGCATGTTTTGCAAGTATAAAAACTGTGTAAATTTTCCTTTTTATTACTAAATGACTCATTCATATGTTTAATAACTTCTGAATGGTCTATTTGTGGAGCTGGTTCATTCTTGCTCTTTGAGTTTTGCTCTTGAGAAGAATTAGTACTTTCATTTTCTACTATGTGGATTTCTTGTTTCTTTGAGTTTTGATCTTGAGAAGAATCAGTACTTTCTAATACATTGGCTTCTTGTTGCGGAATTTCATCTAAAGCAAATTAAATTACTAAGTCGTAAATTAATGAAAACAAGCAAATATTAAMAACCRAATTGTTATTATTGTTTATGACACGAAGCATTATCGCTTCTTCAAGTCTCAAAGTAAGCCCAATAAAAAACAATTAGAAACTTCTTGTATACCAAAAAGGCCACTAACATGATAAGCTTAATTATCCCTAACTTTACTTACCGGTTTTGTCCACCTTTCTCCGCTTGAACTGGTCAAAAACATGAGTTGCAAAGTTAAATTGTGGAATTCGCTTTCTGCTGCCCGCCATATTGGAATTTATTTTGAAAAYGAGGCTGGTAAAAAGTAAACCGCTGACACAGAACATGCAAAAGTCATCAAAAGAATCGAAACGAGGAACAAACTTCGTGTGAAAAACTTAACTTTTATTCCATTTATGTGTATATATATAAAAACACATAGACACAAAGGTAATTAATATAAATAAAAATTTACAACCAAATTAATTTATTAGACACAATAACCGGCGGTAAGAGGTAAAATAGGCGGCGGTATACCGCCAGTAGCCGYCTATTATTGAAAGCTCTGTGCTTGTTTGGCAACCTCATTTCTTCTGTAAGGAAATGTTAGATGYTGTTATTAAATAACATTCATATTCTAACACTCAATGGCAGGACAAAAGAAACCTTGAAAAATGACCATAAATTAGAGAGTGAACGTGCTATAGTGCAAAAACGAATATGATGAACTGTTTTTTTTTTTCAATATCGGGTTGCAATATGCATCTTCTAAGAATAATAATACTAATAAGAAAAGTGAACTTACTTAGCTTTGTAAAGCCTCTGGTCTAGATCTGTCATCGACTTTATCTGGGCTATAGTTGGCTTCTTTCGGGTCAATTTGAAGGTTCTTCTAGTGGTAAGACGAAGTCTCTTAAAGGACACTGCCCAGTCTTACTCTTACACAGGAAATCCACACAGGAAATTTTGTTTATTTCTAATAAATAAAAACTAGCTCTTTATGGGTGAAAAGAGTAATATWTATTTGTTTGTTTTAATAATAAGCTCCRTGAATTGTGGTGTTGATAATTCAATGATTTTGTTCTTTTTTTACCCTCTCTAACCTCCTCTTTCCTCTAACCAAATGTCATCATCAAAAAGACTGGGTACTAGTGTTTTCGTAGTGCTTTGAAAGCAGGTTTATTTTCGGCACCAAAAAAAAAAAGGTGCAGATAAACGCAAAAAAAYGGTTGATATGATACCGTCATTTACGCAGCTTTGCTTTCGTTGGTTTTCAAGTCTTCAACTGGTCTCGTCAACTAGCAAAACAGCTGGCCTTTAAAAGTTAAAAAGAAATTGGGATAGCAGCCAGATTATACGATGTTCTTGTAGTGAGCTTTCATACACCCATGTCCATTGTCCTTGTTCTGCATGTAAAGGAAAAGCTGTGTCATCTTCAGTAGAATTTAGACACAGACAACGTATAGACCTAAGACAGGATTCAACTTCCCTGCCGGAGACGGAACACGAGGATGTCGAGGATGGGGCTAGCGAAACGTAAGTTTAAGTTACACCCGATTTCAAATGAGTGCGAACTCTCGTATTTTGTTTTCGGACGCTAAAACTTTCACTCGACCGCTTGGTAACTTGGCACAGCTTGAAGCAGGTAAAATTATCCAAGTATAAAAACCATGGTTDATGTATGTCTGTGGGCTAAATTCCTACGGTTTGTGATCGCACTACAAAACAAACTTATTGTAAAAACTAGTTTCGGTTTACTTAACTTTCTCAGTTCACAATTACAACGAAACAGTTGAAAAATAAATAGCGTGACAAACACTGACAATTAAGTGCGCGCACTTGAAATCGCTTTTAGTGTTCGTAGGCTGTTCTTTGTTGATTTTACTAGTTTACTGATTAAAATGAAGAGGTTATCGGACGATATTTGGTCGAGGGTTATATACCATAAACTTATTTACAGTTCAAGCATTAAGGAAACTTGTAGAGCGTTATTTGTAGGGAAAACTTGTTTGTAAAATTCGACAACTTTACAAACGTACAGGAAATGTTGCTGTACATACACGGCGTGGAAGGCCTTGAATTCTCACATGTAAGTGTCATTGTAAACTTGTATTCAATCAATCAGAGTTTTTAAAGTAATACGAATAAGAATATATTTCTAATTCTTCGAAAGAAGGTTACATTTAAACATAAGTTACTTTGTTTTCAACCTTTAATTTAAACAACAATGTTGCAATTATTTTTTTGCTTGCTTGATAATTTCATACATAATTCATAATTCTAAATGCGAAAGTCACGCTACAGAAAGTCACGCATCACTTACTAAACACGTGTGCCTGGTTACCACCAAGCAGTCGAGTGAATGACGGTCGAGTGAAAGTTTAGCGTTCAAAAAAAAATTCGAGAGTTACCAAGCGGTCGAGTGAATGACGGTCGAGTGAAAGTTTAGCGTTCAAAAAAAAATTCGAGAATTCGCACTCATTTGAAATCGGGTGTAAATGTGCCTTAACAACAAAGCATATTGCAATAAACAAACAAAAAACAATAACTTAAGTGGCCTGAAAAATACTAGATAATAATAATAATACTAATAGCCCCAACGATAATATATAACTTATAAGTCTTAATTAAACTTGTCTTCGTTTATCTTCGATCTTGTCCTACATTGTAGTTGTCATCTCAGTAAAAGTCACAAAAATWTTTTATTAGGACGGCATTCATAGTCAACATAGTCTTTAAAAGGAATATTATAATCTCTGAAATTGGAAGAAAATATTCTAACTTAAGATTAAATTTCTACTGAACAATCATCATATATTCACAGGTCAAGTTCAGAAGCAACTTCAGAGAGTGATTGCATTGTTGAAAAGGAAGAAAACCTTGCTTGTGATGACAGTGGTCTGAACATGCAAACAAATACTTCGGATGTCCAAAACTTAGAACAAGATATTGTATTTGCGTTGTGTAAAGGTTTTATGCTTGTCAACCAGATGCAAGGATCAATCAATGATTTTGATGACGTGCTAGTGTTTGCAAGGGACTTGTTTTGTAGAATTGATCCGAGTCTTTGTAATTYATGGCCAAAAAATTGGAAGGAAACCGAGAAGCTGTTTAAAAAATGGGACTATAAGGAGCCAAAAATGTACATTATCTGTCTTGATGATAGTCACCCATGTCACTGGGATGTGATGGAATCTGCAAGTATCGGGTGCAGGCACTAATAAATTTGGAACAATAAAGTATTATTACCTTGGTCTTCCAGACAAGATTAGAACATGGTACTCTGATTCTACCATGTGCAAAAAAATGTTGGCTCATTGGCTTAATAAAGATAACTGGATCAGTGGAGTTGGAGCAAATTTAGAGTGGAGTGAAGTTTGGGGTGGTACACGATTTAGTGAGCTTGCATGGTTTTGGGACCCAGACAAAGAGTGGATGTTACCATACAAATGCAAATATTGTCTCAACGTAATAAGTGTTGAAGAAATTGTGGGCTTTCCAGAGAGAGATGGGATTTACACAATACAGTGTGAAGATTGTGGTGAAAAGAGCGAGTACCAACCTCAATTTGCCAGAGGAGAACCACGCAATATTGGACTAATAGGACATTGGGACGGTTGGCAGCCATTTGGTTCCCCAGGCAAGCATAGTTGTGGTAAGTCAGTTTGCAAAAGGATATCTGTCAATACCCCCTTTCCTTCACATAGATAATTTATTTATTCCAGACTAATTGTATGAATTTTGACACCTACTAATTTTCTCTTGCAGTACATTTATGTGCAAACAATAAACAATTATGTTACTTTCAGGGGCAATTGAAGTTTCAATAGCAAATATGAACAAGCAAGACAGAAGTGCAATTGAGGAGGTGTATGTGATTGGATTTGTTCCAAATTACTTGTTACCAAAAAAGCGACCATGTACCCTTGATCCATTTCTACATCCACTCATCTCAGACATTGAAAGCATTGTTATAAATGGTATGCATGATTGTAGAATCTGTTGACATCGTCAAAATTTCTAATATTTTGATTAAATTTCTTTTAATTTACACAGGTTATCATGTTGATTATGTTGGAGACTTTCCCGAGATAAACATAAGACCTGGAAACGTTGTTCGTGTTTTACTGCTATTGTGGACAGGAGACTATGTTGCACAATGTGAAATTGGCAAGTTTATTAAATGTGGGATAAAAGCTTGCAGAAGGGATAAACTCACAGGTATTTTGTTAAAAAAAGTAATACTTTTGCTCTTATAGAACCTTTAAAGTGCTAGTCTTGCCAAAATAACACGCATCAAAAACAGGTTTTATGTATTCCATATCGTTGAAATAACCGTAAATGCTAACAATTAACAAAGTTTGATCCATAAAAGCTCTGTTTCCATTTGAGTTTTAATGCTAAAAGACAGCAACAATCCCGTCCGCCATTAATATGAATAAGCGATTTTTTGAATCAGCGGTTGCACRCTATGACGTCAGAGGCGCACTTCGAGCAGAGACAACRAGAGAAAATATATGGCGAGTGATCTTGCTGAATTCAACTCTGACTCTGACTGTTCATCTTCTTTGACATCCTTGCATGGCTGGTTGTCGGAGGGGGAACTAGAAGRCCTAGAACCGATAGCAACGGAAAAAGAAGTTGAGGACTACGAGAAAAAAGTCGCTCGTGAAGAAGAAGAAGAACGACAACAGAACGAACGCTTTTGTGGCGAGAAAGATATCAAAGAATGGTTAGGATTCACCTTTTTTAATGATTTTAATATTTCTTTGATGTATTCTTTTTACTAACAGCATGTTGAAACGATTTTACAACATATTATAGGTACATATGCGGACATTGCGATCTTTTACACGTGGTAAAGCCTGACGAGTGTAGCTGTTGTGTGGAGTACGAGAAATGTCGCAGTGAATTGGAATGCCTGGATCAACCTCCAACGTGTATTACCGCTCATCCAGCTTTTGAAGACATTTGTCTTAAAAAATGGGTTCTTGAGGTGGCCGCCGTCGGTTTGAGAACAAGAAACAAAAGGCTTTATACAAAGATGCGYCAAGAAGGACGAAGGACAGATTCAGAGTAAGTTGTGTTTTTGCTGAATTTATTTCGCTGTGGTAGATAACTAAACTAAATGAATCTTATTTATTTTTTTAGGTTTTATCGTGCAGTTTCTTATCGTCAATATATGCGTTTTATGTACGGCTACATTGGTAACTATAGACTTGCGCTCCCTTGTTGTGTTTACAACAAAATACGAGGGAAATTCCCTGACGAGAATAAAAAATACCGTGGGTTTGAGCTTGAACCAGAAGAAGAAGATGATGAGGAAGGAGAAAGTGAAGATGTTTCAGGTGATGAACAGTCCGGATAGTATTTTTTATTACATTTTAAAAAATTCACATGTATAATTAGCATCTTTCTCTGACACTTGACAAATGTATAATATTTTTTCCACAAAAAGGCATTGTATACAATATCATAATAATCAAGACCTAATATCAATCGATAAAACTGGTAATCTCTTACTTTGAAATCAAGTAAACTAGCTATTTTTTTCTTACAAATGTAGAGACCATTAACTTTTTTTGGGTGGTTTTTCATCGGTTTTTCACAGTTTTTACAGCATGGAGCCTTTCTCTTCTCTTTGGGCATTACTGGAGGATTTAATAATTGCTCTAGTTCTTGATCTGTAGATGTATGAATATGTTTGAAGACAATAAAATCATGCATGTATATTGTATGCGGTGAATCATTATTTACGGTACCTGTACATGTTGCGGGACAGATTGGAGTTTCCTTGTTTTTCCTATGATTATATTTATTGACTGCTTCAGCTCTGTCCTGCTTCTCTAGCATGGTGTGCATTGGTGCAGGGGTCTCAGTGTCCAAGTCTTTTTCAAGTTTTTTGAAATTTTCA